GGTATTTTCGAACTCTATGTGTTCACTTGGTATTTTTGGACTCAATGTGTTCATTAGGTATTTTTGAACTCTATGTGTTCACTTGGTGTTTGAACTCAATGTGTTCATTAGGTATTTTCGAACTCTATGTGTTCACTTGGTATTTTTGGACTCAATGTGTTCATTAGGTATTTTTGAACTCCATGTGTTCACTTGGTGTTTGAACTCAATGTGTACATTAGGTATTTTCGAACTCTATGTGTTCACTTGGTATTTTTGGACTCAATGTGTTCATTAAGTATTTTTGAACTAGATGTGTTCACTTGGTGTTGTTGGACTGAGTGTGTTCACTAAGTGTTTTAGAACTAAGTATTCACCAGATGTTTTGAATGAATTGTTCACTAGGAGTGTTAAAACTAGGTGTTTGTTAAGTATGTTGAACTAAGTGTTTACCAGTCGTAATTTGTGGACCTTGGCAGTGGTGGACTTTGTGTCAATTCCTTAGGTCAATCCTTAGGAATAAATGGATAAAGGATAGTTGATTCTTAGGGTAAATCCTTAAGAAATAAAGGAGATAATGGGAATGAGTATTTTGTTTGATTGTTTGATAATTGAATATAATAAATGTATTATTGTAGGTTGAAAACCCTATATGCTCACCAGGCTCCTAAGCCTGACCCACTCAGTTTTCTTTGCATTACAGGTAATGGCACAAGAGTATAAGTTGATGGACTTCACGAGAGATTTTGGATTATAGATCAGTAGTTATAAATAACTGTTGTAAGGTCTATTTTATATTGTTTATGCTTTTGGTCTGTATCGGAACATGACATACCGATGTTTTATTATTTAATGAAAATACATTCTCTTTGAGAAACGTTTTGATAAATTTTATCATATTTTGTTTTGGGAACAAATTCCGTAACTATTTTTCTTTAAAAGATTACTCTGGTTTTAAAAACAAAGCATAAACAAATCGGTCTTTTATGGCCGTGAAATTGGGGATGTCACAGAAGCATCGAAGGTCGTCTGGTAAATCGGGATCTAGGCGCACTAGTTTGGTTGGAGTTAGAGTCGTCTGATGTGGCCAGAGAGCCGGCGTCTAGGTGGGCGGAGATGGAGGCTCGTCTGGGGTGTAGGTTATACCGACGTTGACTCGTTAAGTTATGAGTTAGGGCACGCTTTCATTGAGTTTAATTACAAATTACCTTGTTTGGTAAATAATTTTAAAACATACATATTCAGTAAATATTTTTGTAGAAAACACCCTTCATGTCAAAAACTCGTTTAAAATGAGTTCGACAGAGGGGTTTGGAAAAACAAGACTTATTACTTATTAGCTTATAATTTATTAGTTTATAAGTTAATAAGTGTAGGGTAACTTATGAAAAAATGACTTATTAGAAGTTCCCTACCGGAATAAATTATTTTCATCCAAACACTTTTTAACTTATAGTGGTGTGGAACCTAATAAGTTGCTTTAAAAAGCTTAGCCAAACACCCCCAGAATCAGATTGGCTCTTGTTTTAATTTTATTTAGAGAGTTGAATGAGGTCTTGTCATTTAATGGATAAAACTTTACCATTGTGAGATGCCACATGTAACAACGTGAATTTTCAAAACAATTTTTCATTTTTGCAAACATCAAAAACCAACATTTAATATTCCGAAATCATATGTGTAACAAATGTCATTGTAACAAAATACATCCCATGATCATAAAACAGTTCCTTCGTCAGTGTGTACAATCACGCCGACGCCTTCCCACGGTCCTCGCTAGTACCTGAAACACATAACACAACAACTATAAGCATAAATGCTTAGTGAATTCCCCAAAATACTACTTATGCACATACGCCTTTCCAGACCCTGACCTTCCGGTCCATGTGTATCAGGGGACTTCCGTCCCGACTCGGTAAACCTTCCGGTCCTACCTGCATCAACCTTACGGTCCACATCACAACGCCTTCCGGTCCATATCATATATGCCTTCCGGCCCATAACATAATGTCTTCCGGCCCATATCAAACATAGCATACATAGCACATACAAACGATTAACTTATCATATACATCACATACAACTCATAACATATTCGACCTTCCGGTCACACAATAAAAACCCTTCCGGGTACAATATAGTGAGAAAACTCACCTCGTGGAAAGTCTAGAATATCGCGTACTTGCTATCTCCAAATCCCAACGAAGACTCAACCTCGCCTAATCATAACGAATATTATTTTAATTAATATAGACTTCCACAACTAGACTTTACCCCTTATCATCATTCCTTAGAGGGTAAAAGACCATTTTACCCTTCCTTGACTCAAAGTCCACATGTTGACCAAAACCCTAAAAGTCAACAAAAGTCCACCTTACAGTACGCGGGGCGTACAGATTGATGTACACGGGGCGTACATCGCCAACCCACAAATCGGGGTCTCCACCCAGTATGCTGCGTGTACTGGGAGTTACGCCCAGCGTAACCTTCAGTGCAACACACTCTTCATTTCTGGTCTTAATCGGTTAAGCCATTACTTCAACTTCTAGATCTGACTTTATTTAAGCATCTTTACCTATAAAGTCGAAACCTTTAAGCCTTGGCATGGCTGTAAAGGCTCCTACACTCCTTAACATCTTTCTATTCCAACTCAAGGATCTAAATCTCATGCATGGTGAAACATTCACGTCCAAGATTACATTTTTATGAGTCTACAACTCAAATAGACCAGAAATATGATGGATCTAAGCTTATGGAGACCATTTGCTCATAAAGTCTCCACCTTTGGGACCAAAACCCTAGAAAATGGTACTTAAAGCATATCACAAGAACTATATGTCAAGATCCGAACTTTTTACCTTAGAATGAAGCTCCAACCTTTACAAAGCCCGGATATACCCTTGAACACCAACTTCTAGCCTTCCCAATGAACTCTTCTTCTTCTTTGCTACCTTGAAATGGCACCACCAAGCTTAGAACACTCACAAATGGACTTGGAATGAGTAAGCACTCTCTTAGGTTTTCTTTCTGAGGGATGGTGGCTGAGGAGTCAAGCCAACACATTCCTTTTATAGCCAACCAAAATAATTAGGGTTTTTAGGTCTGGACCGGTTACGCCCAGCGTACCCGAGGGTGAACGCGTTCAAATGAAGCGCGCGAGTACGCGCAGCGTACTCCTTGTACGCCCAGCGTACTCGCACAACATGCAAAACCCTAAATGGCAACAATTCAAAGATGAAGGGCTAAATAAAAGGGTACTTGGATTTCGGGTTGTTACACCACATTGACATTTAATGGATTTAGAGAGAGTTGAATGAGGTTGTAAGTCTATGTGTCATTTAATGGATAAAACTCTAGCAAGATGACACCTTGACATTTAATGGATTTGAAGTTGAATGATCATTGAACTCTTTAATGGAAAAAATGAAAGTTTTCAATTCTTAATTATTTACTATAAATCTCATTTTATAACATTTAATGGATTTAAAGTGGGACTTTTCCCCCACAAAAGCTAAGCCAAACACTCTCTTAGTCATAACAACACTCAACAAGGTCTGTTCAGGTCTATTTGCTCAAAAAACAAAGTGGGACAAACTCTTATTCCGTCCTCTGGTGTGGTTATAACACATAAATAATTCTAATTGAGTTGATTCCAGTGAAAACAGACAAAATTTCGTACAAATCTTGTCTTGGGTTGTTTTCCTGATTTGGCCCAAAATTTTCTCTATAACCCTCAAGCAAGATCACAAAAGTTTGTTGTCTTCGGAGTTTACAATTTTCGGTACAAATTTTCAGGTGCCTAGGGTTGTTGTGAATCTTCGTGATCATTAAGGACATGTCTAGACTATACTAAGGAGTAAGGAGTATCAGAAGTAATTTACATTTACATTAGCAACCACCGATTGAAGAAAATCGTTGATGTTAACTTCACAAATTCACATTTCATCAATTATGAAACACGCGTCATATACAACACCATATGCTTAGGAATAGATCAAAGAAAGTAATTATGACAAGGAGGAAGATAAGAGTGAAGAAAATAAAGCTTAACTTGTTTGCGTTTGAGGTGGCGATCGAAGATTTGGACTTTAGAGCTCTGAAGATTAGTGTCAGTATTCTCCGTTGTGCAAAATGTTCTTCTTCTTCTCAGAAAACTACATAGTAGTAGGCTGTAGGTTTCCATTCGGTCTTCTCATTTCTTCTCTTCTGGTTATGAAATTGGTGTCATCTTGGAATGTTTTGGAAATGAGCTAGCCTTCTTTTTCTCTTGAAACCCTAACCCGACAATCTCACTTTCTTCAAGATCGAGACTCAAATGGAGGGTGAGTGAGAGTGGTCTTAACTCTTAAATGGTCAAGGAGTTGTGTATTTGAGACAGGAAAGAAAGGAGGCATGGTCGCTGCGTCGTTTGCATGGTAGCAACATAAAACATGTGACCTGATTTTTAAAATTGGCGGATTTGGTCCTCAGTTTTTGGTCCGATGGCAACATTACCCTCCAAATATGGTTTCCAGATTGGCAAAATGGTCCTTGTACAAACCAATGATTTTATTTTTAATTTCTTTTATTTACTCAACTTTTATATTAGTCCTTGCTTTTCAAAAACTTCATAAATATATTACGAGTTGTAAATCGGGTCCAAAAGTTGTCTTCAAATTTTTTGTTATTAAAAAAATAGTGAATTGGATAGAATAAAAAAACTAGTTTATTCTCTATTTCTATATCATCTTCAACAAATTTCAATTCACACACGTCTTTTGGAAATTGGAATCATCAAAAGTTGAAGTAGCAAGAACCCTTAGCTAAACCAGTTTTCCTATTGCAAATATTGAAATGTAAAACAAGTCAATAGCAAAGTAGTTCTGCGTTCAAAACTTTTATCATATGACCCTTTTTGGCGACAAATTTTCAATTGCAGAAGACAAAGCCTCATATCATGAGCTGCAGTTTTTGGTGTATACGACTTTGTAAACTTGTGACCTGTGCAAGGTTAGCTAACAATAATTAAACAAATGAAAATATTTACGTTCAGATCTTCAAAAGTGCTTTACAATACAACAAACTAACTTGCTTAATATTAGACTCAATTCAAGTTTCACATCAAACTCTTGTAAAAAAATCCACACAATTTGTAAAACTTGTTGTAAAAAAAGGTACAATTTATCAATTCATCAATAACAAATTCATTTACTTGGCTTTAGAATCATCAAACATAATAAAATAAACTTGTCATGTAAAATGTTAACAAGATGTCTAACTGTTGTAACTCATCAACATCATTTCAACACAAAAAAAAAATTAAAAAAAAAATATATCTCAAATAACACAGCTTCATCAACGGACATTGCGGACTTTGTCTTCTTGTCCTATTCCAAGAGCCTTCTGAGCATTTGCAATACCTTGAGGATCTACCAATAATACAACACTCAACATGATGAATGCTAGAACCCATAAACAAATCAATGAAAGAAAAAAATGTTGCTGTTTCTTGCATTTAACCTTTCCTTTTATAGTAGTTAAAATATCATGGTAAATATAATGCTTGTACTTACCATAGAACTGTGTGAAGATGCGTGTGAAGAAACTCAAGTTGCGAGAAACATTGTATTGCATTGAATAAGGTAGTGGTTTCACAAGAGTATCAATGCTGAAGACCCGTTGCAAGAACTGTAAAATGTTGAGTGTTGACATGGTATTAATTTTTGCAAAATTACTTCTTTAATCAAAGGATTAAGAAAATTTCAATCCAAGAAAGTAAGTCAAAATTCCATCCTACCACAACCACAACCACAACCACTTTCGGTTAAAGAAATTCAAACCCTTAATCCTCAGATTCATAATTGTCTATTTCTTTTAGCAAATTAACGCTGAAAATGTGTATACCATGACAATAATAAAACATTTACAACACTAAAAATCACATTATCTCTTAATAGCGATTTAACAAATCATATATTGGTCTTTTGTTGAGATAAGGGAAGATGTAAAACCTAATTCAACTAACACACAAGGAAACTAATCAAGTGTATGCTGCTGGAATTGGAGATACATCTAGAAAAAGGCAAGTAATTGAAGAAATGAGGAGGTGGTTTTACCTGAAAATTGCGTTGGAAGCTGTAACGGAGTTCAGGGTCGATTTCGAGAGAATCGTCTTCATCGGCAGCAACATCTTTGGGCTTCCTCTTGCCGGGAACGTGCATAGTAGGGGTGCTTCCTGGCTGGGCGGTGACTTTGAGCTTCGCGTCTTTGAATTTATCTTGTTGATCGTCTCCTCCGGCGCGCCATGGCGCCGATGCTAACAATTCTTTCTTTGGCTTCCCCATCTTCTTCAAAACCCTCGCCTAAACCAATAACTGTGTTTGGATAACAATAAAGAGATTTGGTGGTAGCAAAAGCAAAATTCCAAGGTTTATTTCCACAATTTACATAAAACGCCCTCTAGTTTTAACAATCTGTTAAAAATGACTAGGGACAAGTATCATAGGATATGAAAATTAATTTGGGTCATTTTTATTAGAGTAAATTACACAAATGGTCCCTATGGTTTGGGATAATTTACGTATTTGATCCCTAACTTATTTTTTAACTCGGAAGGTCCCTACTATTTGCTTTTGTTACGCGCTTGGTCCTTACTGTTTGTTTTTATTACGCGTTTGGTCCCTATCTTACCTAAAAATACTATTATTTAAATAGAAAAAATTAGCCGGGGAGGTAAGATATGGTGAATGGGGTGGGGTTGGGAATGCGTTTATTTAAATAAATTAAAAAAATCAAAAGCAAAATAGTCTTTTTAGGTAAGACAGAGACCAAGAGCGTAACAAAAACAAACAGTAGGGACCTTCCGAGTTAAAAAAATAAGTTAGGGACCAAACGCATAAATTACATTAAACCATAGGGACCATTCGTGTAATTTACTCTTTTTATTATTTATCATGAGTGAAGAAAGTTTTATGGTAAACCAGCCATCATCTCAATGGATTAACATAATTACCCTATAGAAACACAACAACCACGATTCTACTTGCTAATCTATATCTTTTTCTTTAGACAAAACTGCATAAATAATCATTATGATTAGCTGAAAATTGTCGCTTTCGTCCAAAAATGTTTGGACTAGCACCAGAGGTCCAAACTTTTCATTTTTTTTGCAAGTTTGGTCCGATTTGCTTTGAACTTTTTTTATAAAGATAATTTTGCCTTTACTTTTTGTTTTTTTTTTAGTTTTTTATTTATTTAAATATTTTTCTGATTGAAAGAAAAAATTTTAAAAATTAAAAAAGCCAAATCTCTCTCTCTCTCTCAAGAAAATATCTTATGTAGGTATACTTCCAATCTCGTTTTCATTTAGGTTTTTCTAAATCATAACTCAATGAAAATCATTTGTGAGCTCTTTTTTCAAGGGTAACTTAAGAATTATATTCCAAAATTCGAATAAAAACTAAAATCGTGTGTGGTTGTGTTTATGGAAATCAATTTAAGAGTGTATGTGCATGTTCTAAATTTCTGGAAAATCGATTATTGGGTGTTCATCCCTCATCTTCATCTGGAAATCGATTCTGATCTAGAGATGATTTCAGAGATGCAGAAGGCACTGAGTGCTTCTTTGTGAAGGCTTGCTCGTAGATATTCGAGAAAGAGACGATTGTATAGGGGTGTACAAGAACCTTTCGCAAGAGGTGTCTCAAATGGGTCTCGTGTCCAAATCACAGGAATGTTCATAGAGAATCGGGTTGGAGGAAATGGGTCTCGTGTTTTTTACTGGAATCTATCTAGGGGCGATGTCTTTTTCTAGTTAAAGAGATGAGGATGTGATCTGCTTGATCTTCCGGTTGGATTTTTGTGGGTTTTCTTGTTTCTTGCTTGATCGATCGATTGAGGCTTTTTGAAGTGGATGTTTATGTATTCTTCTGTTTCTTAATCATTTGATCTTGGATTTTAGACCTATGAATTGGGTCTTCATGAGTGCTTCTTTTTTTTATTATTCCATTTGGGATTTACGATTTCAGTAATCAATGATGATTTCTTCCCCTGTTCTTGAGCATCGTTCAAGCTTTAAGTTATTTTTTTTTTGGGTTTTACGGGTATTCTTGTTCAAACTTTAGTGACACCTACAAATCAGAAACAGAGAGATTGGGCTAGGAGTGACAAGGATTGACTGATGATCAAATTCGTAATTATATCAATGTGTATTGTGGCTTTTCTGAAGTGTATTGGTTTAATTTGAGAATGGTGGAGACAAGAGGATCAAGATTTGGAGCGGGTGGCCAGGATAGGCTACGATTGACTGATGATCAGATTCGTGAGATCATCTTCACTAAGGTGGCTGTTGTTGTCTGAAGGTCAATGCTGGAGATGTTATGATCGAGCTCTTTGATGATCATTACGCTGCTCTTTCTGAGGCTATTGTTGTTGTAGCTACCATGGCTGTTTTTGCGATGGGGATTCGAGGGGAGAGATCCTTCCAGTATCTGGACTTCGGTAATATGAAGCCCCCATAGTTTGATGGGGTCAGGGAACTGATTGTGGCGATGAAATGTTTGTCTACATAAGGGTTGTTTCTACACATGATCATACCCTACTGACCAGAAGGTCAAGTGTGCCCTGAAACTTCTTCAGTCAGGTGCGAAGGATTGATGGAGATTAGTAATTGGGTCTTACACTCCTGAGCATAATGTTTTTGTTACTTGGGAGCAGTTCTCGAAGATGTTTCGCATGAGATACGTCCCATTGGTGGAGAAGGAGAGGTTAGCTCAAGAGTATCCAGATTTGAGGCAGAGAACTGAGACGGTGATGGAGATCACTAAGAGGTTTACTAAGAGGACTCTTTTTTGCCCTGAGTTTTTTTTTTGCTTCTGAGCAAGCTCAAATGATTCAGTACTTGAGCATGCTCAAGATAGATATTCGAAAGTTTGTATCCACCCATTGCTATGCTACCCTCGCTGAGCTTCAAGAGGCTGCGAGGAGGCAGTAGATTGAGATAGAGCTCCAGTCGAAGGAGCTGAGGCAGGCTGCTGTTCGGTCACAGCCTGCAGCGAAGCGGTTCAAGCCCACTTATTTGAGATATGGGGGACAGAGGGGCCACACTTGTGGCAAGTGAATCAAGGTTCATGATGGTGTTTTCTGATCTTCATCTGGACGTCACAAATGTGACAAGGAGGGGCATTATGCTAATAATTTTCATCAGCAGGCCCTAGTACCGAGTACTCGAATTTGTAATCACTATGAGCAGATTGGCCATGTGAAGGCCAACTGTCCCTTACTTGTTGTGAGGGCGGCGCAAGCTCCAATACTGGCTACATTAAGGATCACTGATGGATGCCAGGGTAGGGCGGAGCCTCTGAGGGCCCGAGGTCATGCTTTCCAGCTCACTACAGAGGAGGCAAGGGCGGCGCTGGACGTCTTTACTATGAGTTATTTTCTTGCTCTTATGCTTTTTGACTCGGGTGCGATTTGGTCCTTTATATTTCAGTCTTTCAGTGTGGATTATGATATGACTCTTGGTGAGTTGGAGAGTCTGTTTTGGGTTTCTATCACCAACGAACATAAGGTTTCTACATCGAGCATTTATCGGGATTGTGTCTTGGAGATTTTTGGAGTGCCTTATCCAATTGATTTGATTCCTATTCCCATGAGGGATGTGTGCATGATAGTTAGTATGGATTTGTTGATTAGGCACAATGCGATGATTAACTATGAGGGACAGCGAGTGGTAGTTTGAACCCCAAGTGGGGGAGAACTAGTTATTTATGAAGAGGTACCAGGGTTGGGTCAGCCTTTTGTTATGCTACCAGGGCTCCACAGTATATTCAACATGGTTATATGGGTAATCTTGCATATGTGGTTGATACTAGAGTGGGAGTGCAGGCTTCAGCGTAAGATGTGCCAGTTGTTAGAGAGTTTGTTGATGTGTTCCCGGAGGAGTTACCCGGCTTGCCTCCTGAGAGGCAGGTTAAGTTTAAGTTTGATTTGGTTCTAGGTGCAGCTCTGATTGCCAAGGCATCGTACCGATTAGCACCACCAGAGATGTAGGTGTTGTCCTCTCAACTTTAGGAGCTATTGGGCAAGCATTTTATCATACCGAACAGTTCGCCGTAAGGAGCATCAATATTGTTTGTAAAGAAGAAGGATGATTCACACTAGATGTGCATTGATTACTAGGAGTTCAACAAGTTAACGGTGAAGAACAATTATCCACTTCTATTGATTGATGACCTCTTTGATAAGTTGCAGGGTGCATCTTGGTTCTCTAAGATCGATTTGAGGTCAGGGTATCATCATATGAGGGTTAGGGAGAAGGACGTGGAGACAACCGCGTTCAGGACATGTTATGGTCACTACGAGTTCGTGGTGATGCCATTTGGGCTCACCAATGCACCTGTGGCAATTATGGATATGATGAATTGGGTATGAAGGCCGATGCTCGATCGATCGTTCATTATTTTCATTGATGATATCTTGGTGTATTCTGAGACCAAGGAGCAACATGAGGAGCACCTTCGAGAGCTTCTGGGAGTTTTGAGGTGAGAAAGGTAGTATGTCAAGTTCTCAACTGTGAGTTTTGGTTACGAGAGGTCCATTTCTTGAGGCATCTCGTTAACTAGGATGGGATTTTGTTCGACCTGACCAATAAGTAGATATTCATTTAGAACAGTAGAATGTGCTTCAAAACTGTTCAGACAGTGAATAAAAGGAATTCTAAGAGATTGTGTACTCAAATAGACTTAAAGTTCAGTAAAGTGAAATACAACATAAACCTAATAATCAAGAAAGGACTTAAATGATTAGTGATGTTTCTATTGTCAAAGAAATTGGACACTGAAAGAGGAACCACTCCTCTTATCTCATCGAGCTAAGGAAGTCTGAATTAACCAAGACTTCAAATATCTATATGATAGAACTATTTATTTTTCCACCATTCACTTGAGTATGTTATACTTCAGGTGACACTAATAATTGATATTATGTGCTAATGATTGGAAGAAATAACCAACTGATTACAAACGAATGGTATTTCATGCTGAAGATATAACAAGATCTGTTATAGTTTGTATTTGAGCAATAGATGTTTTGTACCTATTTTAATAGGGACATGTAACAGTTGTAATTTATGAATAGATTTAGATTTACTTACCGTTTAATGGATGTTCATATTCATGTTCCGAAGCGAAGTATTATGTGTTAAAGAATATTTTCTCATAATGTCATTTATGAAGTAAATCTATAAACTTTCATTAAAATGATAGTTCTAATGATAACAACTAAATAATCAAATGATATTTTATTATGACTTATCGATTTCATAATCATCATGACCATATAAATAAGAAACATATATACAAGCTTCAAAAGGGTGAAAATTTTGAAGGCGAATGAGTTTGATTCAGTTGATATATGGGAACTCTATTTATATGGGAAGATGATTTGCAAGTATCT